AATCTTCCGCTGGAACCGCAAAGTTTGTCAGGGAAACCTTGCATCACATAATATCTTATCATTCCAATCTGTTAAATCGCCAGAATTATTACGGGTCATGTAACGGTGTTCTCAAGGTGGCGTAGCGAGCAGTTTAAAATACGGTAATTCTACAGAAATATCTTGATAAGCTTAAATACTTACGAAAGCTTTAAAATATCGTTGCTACATAATACGACTTTCCATATGATGTTCTTTGATTAATTCAAGGCTAATATCAAGTGAATAATATAGCTTTCTGTCTTTTGGGTTGTTGCGCTGTGTAGTCTGGTCGATATTAACCAACGTTTCAGAGGTCATACTGCCTTCGTCATCAGGGCGGTGAGTATGAAGATTTCTGTCTTCTGGGTTGTTGCGCTATGTAGTATGGCAGATGTCCACCAACGTTTCAGAGGTCATACTGCCTCCATCATCAGGGCGATGAGTATGAAGATTTATGTCTTCTGGGTTGTTGCGCTGTGTAGTCTGGTCGATGTTTACCAACGTTTCAGAGGTCATTCTGCCTCCGTCATCGCCCTGATGACGGAGGCAGTATGACCTCTGAAACGTCTTACATGAATAATATAGGTTTGGAAGTTGCAGAAACAATATATGAGATTGTAACAGTTACCGAACTTAGGAGTCTTTCCAGTGTTCCATGTTTCCAAGAAAGATCAGTTGGTTAATGCTGTTTAGGTAAATAATCGCTGTCAATTAAGATAATCGTATGAAACCCATAAGTACACTCTGTTGGAAGAATTCAGAATTATTAGTTGTTGAAGTAGATGGTACAGTATCGTAAAAATTGCTCTTGAAAAGGTTAAGCCCGACAGCAGAAATAACATACTATACGCCCTTGTTTAGAGGCCTAGACACACTTTGAAAAAGTTCAACGGGCCAAATAAGATGGGTGGTTTGTTGGCCAATGTGAATATCTAGCTTAAACCGTGTGTTTGTAACCCTCCATCCCCCCCTCCGTTTCCGTCGGAAACGTGTTTAGTGGACTGCTCCCCCTCCGTGCTTAAGCCTTCAGCCCCATTTGACAGCACATACTGCATAAAATGTCTATGATGTCGCATTCAGCTGTCTGGGACAATGGTGTAGACCAGTGGCATTCAACCTTTTTTGTTCGCGTACCCCCAGATATAATATCTCTTCAACTTTCTACCCCCAAAGTTGTTGGTGTATAATTCAAGTTATACATAGTATATAATCTACATCTAAAATAAAATTAAATTACATTTCTGATTATTTAGTGTTTATCATAAAATAATATATATTGTAACGTGGGACGGTATTTACGACCTAGATTGTCAACCCTGGATTATTCACGTCTGCTGCCTCGAATCTGGTTGGATTGTAAGAGACCAATGTCCTCCAGCAATAATCGATTTAATCAAACTAAAACGTACCAAAAGATTCTTCAAGCTTATTATATGCTTCAATAAAGTCTGCCTTTATCTTATTGCATGTATATAGCTTGTTTGTGCAAGGTCTGCACACATGCTGGGGAAGACCGTCATTCAGGGCAACCTATAAAAAATTAAAATAAACAAATTTTACACGTCATCTGACATATCTGGTCATAACTATGTCCAAGTAGGTTTTGATGTTCTCGTGGCAGTGACTACAAAGAAGATTACCAATATAAAATATGCATACAAACAAAACTGTTTACACTATGAAGCACACTGATGCCAAACGCGCTTCGACCTAGAAGAGATCTTCTTCATTACGCCGTCTCCTTTACAGGAGGTCGGCGACATATTATGAACAGGATCCTTCCATCCTTTTTCTCGGACTGGGACCTGTTCATATACGTTCTTGGCAGATGATCCAGAAGTGGTTTGCCATTGCCTTCTTCTGTGTGTGAATGGAGTAATTGTTGGGATACCACGGAGGAAAACTCCGTGTTGCCTAGACCACGGCCTTGCCCAACACAAGTTATGAATTCGGGTACCGCCGGGAATCGAACCCGGGACCCCAGGATTTACAAGGCCAGCGTTCTAACCGCTAGACCACCGTGGCGGTAATGTCTATAAACAAACAACAATGTCAATAAAAAGACACAACAATGCCAGACACAACAATGTCTATAAACGAGTATAACAATGCCAACCGCAACACGTCACAATATATTTTTTAAAAATTTCACATACCCCCTAAGATGTCTTCGCATACCCCCGGGAGTACGCATACCCCAGGTTGAATACCACTGGTGTAGACAATACGGACCGACGTAGAACAGTCTGTAACATACAATCTAAAAAAAATTTTAATGAGTCGTTGGAAATAAATAATAGTGAACATTGTATGGAGTTTAAGAAGTAAACCGAGGGCAACGTATTAGCTACAGAAATACGCGATTAGACAATGTGAAGAAAAACATTGATCAGTTAGGTAGGATATTAAAATTATTCCTAAAATTAATGCAAAATAAGGCTTAATTCGGTTAACAATAGTAGTAGTAGTAGTAGTAGTAGTAGTAGTAGTAATACTTTTTAAAGCTTATTATTGTCAAGTTCCTTATTCAGGTGACTGCCGTCTTTTGTATTGAATCAAAATGAGTCACATGCAAACAATTTCCCCCCTTTGTCTTCAAGTTCTTTCGCTTCGAAATGAAATACGTCAACGTCCTGGGCCTAAGGTGGTTTTTGTTCTTCCCTCGATAACAATAAAACAAGGATCAGTGCTTGTGCATGTGATAGCGTTCTAACCGTTCCGTTATCTCGGCGCAATGCCCTGCTCTTTCTTGGAGCCAACTCAGTGCTTTGAACTCAGACTAATTTTGTCTAAATGTGGTCGGTTGTACCAGGCTCTTTGTTCATATTTCCCCTTGGGAATGGTGAATATTTTCTTACTGAGAGTGTTTTTATGAAGAATTCAAATTATCTTGCACATCTTATAAATTTGTTTCTTTAAACGGTTCTTTTATTTGTGTTATTTAATGATGCTATCATTTGTTCTGGATATATAGTGTCAAATGATAGGGAGTTTAACGAACAGCGAATGAAGTGTGAAGGATTTGAAAGGAAACGGTCGTGGCCTAATTTAGTGACTGTCGGCGATTGCCTGCAGGGACTGAGGAAAACTTCAGTCTCTTCCGGGAAGAGATTTTAACTCGGTACCTCCCAGACACAAGCAGGAGCCAGGAATAATAACCACTCGGTGACATTCGGTTAAAGGGTTCTTGTGGCCATTTAATATATTTCGCTGTGGGGCGAAATACGTGAAACTACGTTTCCCAGGACTCTATGAACAAGAACAGTGACGTGTTCTATGACGCATCCTAGCATGCGATATACATCTACGTCACGCGCGTAGAACTCACAGCAAGGAAAATTACACACGAAGGGAGGCACTTCGAGTCAGTCCGTTACAAATCGGCAGTGAGGGAACACGGCGAGGACGAGAACAGCGACAGCTCATACTATCGGTTACTCGAGGCCACAGAGTGAGAGTGAGACGAGATCAGCAACTGCCGATAGATGTCTGGCCTGCCTGCAGGAGGATGGGGACAACGTGGAAGTTTCAAGCAGCGGCTCATAGCGGTATTGAGGTGAAGCCAGGCATGCATCGAGCGTGCTCCCGCTAGTGAACCTGCCAGCCGACCCCGTTCCCGCCATTCTTCACGGCAGCTGTAGTGCTTTTGCTGCATAGAAGTGCAGTTGGTTGGCGTGTCGTTGTCGGTTTGTTGTGCAAAGGGGCAATTAACTATGGCGGATACCGGCTCGGGATTTTCTGAATATCCACTGCTTGTTATTACGTTGATAGTTGGAGCTACAGTGTTGGTTTTAGTGTACATATCCAGTTTGTTAAGGTCTTCAAAAGGAGAAGATGATGCGAAAAGTAAGGAAATAATCATTGTGGACCCATAGCGCCATGGCATCGATTACTTTAAATGCCCACTGAAAACGACATGCACTGGGGAGCGTCTGAGCTGATTTTCGGTTTAAGGGCTTCGTTTTACTGTGAGAAATGTATAGAAACGATACCTTTATGTTGCTCTAAATAGTACAAGGGATTTTTTTAATTACCATGTCATTACGTATTCCAAGATTTATTCAAACCCACACCACGTGTTTCAGACGCGTCCGTAACAATGCATATCGTTCCAAATTCGAATTTCTACCGGGTTTAAAATATTAGCATTAAGTTTTATTTGAATTGTACGGAATACGGAATTCTGTAAGGAAATTTATGTGTTTGTGTTCAGAAAGAAGGTGCAATGTATGACCACGCTGGAGCACATGCCGTCGTTTTTCTTGCTTGGCCAATGTATAATCGATCAGTGTATTACAGTGCCCCATTTGAAGTAGTAGGCCTACACAAATGAACTGGTTCATAAGAATTTTAAGTGTGTCATAATGGGTAAAATGCACGGGTGAATATTTCCAGTTTTTTCGGCCGTGACTTAAACATTTCGTCAGTGTTTTGATATTTTAACTTTTTTTTCAGTGCAAAAGATGAAAGTTCAGTGCCCTTTTGCTACATTTAAAGCCACTGCTTAAAATAGCCGTAGTGGAAATTTTATTGAGATTTGATTGCTTTTTAGTAGCGTGCTTTGTGTATTTACTCACTGTTTGCTCTTAAAACGGTTCCCTTACTTGTAATGTGAATTCACAATGCTCGGTCTGGCTATTCTGAAAATACTTGGGAAATGACTGGCAGGACCTTACTACATTTCATTTGGAATTTAGGATGAGGTTTTGCATAGAAATGTGACATTGTTAAAAAACCTTCAGAATGCCGGTTTATAACACTTTCAAATTAGTACCTCCTGCAATTAAAGTTATCCAATGGCATCTGCATATTTTTTACTCAAGGTGTCTAGTTTGTGCTCATGGGTTTTATAGTAGCACCCTGCTGCCAAAGCTTTTGTCTCTATAGTAACTTCTGTGTGCAGAGTTTTGAATTGTGTATAAAATAATGAGTTACTGAACTGAAAGCAGTTTGCTGATGATGTCAGTTTTTTTTTCTAGGTGCAGAGACTGAAGTGTCAAAGAAGGAGAAACAGAGAGATACAGCAAGTTCTGTTCTGAAGTCCAGTAAGAAGAAACATTCAGAGAAGTGGGTTCGAGATTCTAAACAGAGTTTTTCACATCCATGGCTCTTGACTTCATTGAAGGGTCATAGCGGAGAAGTGCTTGATATGGATTTCAGCAGCAATGGGAAATTCCTGGCAACATGTGCAGAAGGTAAATGATCTGTTACATGAATGCATTTGTGACTCCTGCAGTTTAAATATTCAAATTTGAACTACATATTGAATGGTGGGTAGGTTGTACGATATGTTACAGTTCATGCATTTTTGTTGTCTTGAGGTAGTTGGAGTTCACATTATGCTGTGTCTTACATACACTGTGTGA